GAAGATAACATTGCTTGGGGGCAAATTTACGTCATGTTTCTGAAAAGTAATCAACTGTTACCGACATAATGTTGAAGATCTTTATATGCCCCACAAGCAATTCAGTGACGAGAAACTGAAATAATTTACTATATTCTTTTTGTTGCAGGAATGGGTCTTGCCTACATGAGAGATCATCTGTTTAAAAAAGCTCGACCAGGAGTTCCCCATATCTGTATCGTCATTACTGATGGTGAATCACAAGAGCCAGAGAAGACCGCCAAGGAAGCTCTAGGTGCTCGCCAGGCCGGTATTGATATTTTTGCTATTGGTGTCAGTGAGTCCGTCAACAGACAAGAATTGAACAACATTGCTGGAACCCCAGACCGAGTCATCATCGTCAAAACCTACGGTGAATTGGAAGCAATCAAAGACAAACTTTCTGGTCAAACCTGCAAGAGTAAGTATGGCTTTAGTCATCTGTCGACTCATCAGTCTTAGATTGTCCTTTCTAAATACAAAACATCATCATGGTAAAGTTTCAGTTAATGCTGATTTTTTCAAAATTTCAATATTAAAACAATATTAGGTACGTTTCATTCATACAAACATTAATTCGGAAAACGTTTTCTTTGTGATTATCAAGGACACGAACACAGAACGGGTGTAACCTTTGGTGAGGTGAGGTGAAGTTATATTCTATAGTTACTAACAATCTCATGTTAATTTTGACTTTCAGATGTCCCAACCCCAGCACCAACACAAGCTGCAGAAGAATGTGGCAAAGACACACCAACTGATATTTACTACGTTTTCGACCCAGCATCCCTTGGTTTGGACATCACCGGATGGGTTACCCAATTCATCAGCTACACCCTTGAAGTACGAGAATTCAAATTCATGCAAATGGGAGTCATCAGTGGCTCATGTCCAATCGATTCTGGATTCAGTTTGAATACATATTCTTCCAACAAAAAGATCAGAAACCACTTGGCCAGATACGACTCCTCCAGACTTCCAGCCCTCATCGGCTCAGTTCCCGAAGAATTCAACCAAGCAAGATCTGGTGCCCGAAAGGTTGCTGTTATCTTTATTGGTGGTAAGGTCGATGCCATGGCTGTTATCGAACAAGCTGAAGCTGCCCACGCCGCTGGCATTGATATCTTCTTCGCTGGTCACGAAACTGCTGATAGAAACCTTCTTAATGCTTTGGAAGAAATTGGATTCGGGCAACGACTCTTCCTTAACGGATACAGCGC